AAAATGTATGTTTAAAATAATTATATATTAATAAATTAACTTATTATTTTTTTTGTATAGAATATATGAAAACTATAATTATTATAAACGTTATTATTATGTTTGTACGCTTTCAATAAAGGCAAGAAATACTCACTCTTCGAGATGATCTGTGACTTTTTCAGAGTCATCTTCTTTTAAAGGTTGATAAATGTCAGATTCTTTCAGATCTGTCTTTGAGCCTTTTAAAAACAAGTTTAGCGTCCACCTGTGCACGCATCGCGAAACAATAATATAAATTTTACTTTAAGATAAAATCTGTGGCAAAGATAATTACATAAAATTCTGGAAAAAATTTTCTGTATATGTGTTTCAAGAAAAGTTTATTCGCATACATTTAATACACATAATATATGCACACTAAAAATATGCTTCACGCAATTATCTTGTAAATTTATTTCAAGTTCGTCAATATAAATTATACAATATATAAATTATACAAAGCATAATTCCTGAACTATCACTCTTTCTTTCATCGAAAACGAAAAGTTTAGCTAAATAATCTATGGAGATATCCCATACATATATTATTTCCATCACAAATATACTTTACTTTACACACTATGATTTACTTTAAATTTATTAATTTTCTATTAATGTAATATAAAAAGAATTGTAAAGTATAAAGTCTCTATTTTAGACAATTTATAATCCACGACAAAATTTAAAACAGAATTTTATTTAGAATTTTATGTGCTAATGTGTAGCTGTAAATGTATATCTTGATATATAGGGTGTTCAAAAAAGTTGATAATTTTAGGAATATGTTATATTCATAAAAACAGTTTATAAAGTCTTAATAAGTAATATTTCAAAAACCATTTATTTCTGAATTATAAAGCATTTTCTGTTATTAAATAAATTCAATCTAGATCAGATGTTCGACGTGCCCTTCCCGTTCATTCTCGGCAATAAATTGTTTTTGGAGTACTACTTTTTAAGACTTTTTGGCTTGTTTTTACGAGTACTACATACTTCTAAAATTTGGTACCATCTTTTTTGAACACTCCATATATTAAGTAAAATATATGTTTTATTTCTTTAAATTTTCTGTATTATGTACTATTCTTTTTTCCTTATGATTATAAATTTTCTTCAAGAAAGATTTTTTTTCAAGAAAGAAAAAATACTTGTATTTTTAAAACTTTTTTTAGTAGAAACTGAAATTCTCTGTAGAAAAAAAAATCTCGCATGTCTTTCGCTAAAAACGTATTCGAAATTTTATATTATATGTATACTGTTATAAGAGATATCTGTTAAAATTCTATTTAAATATGTAAAACTTTTTTCTAAAATAATTATATAAAGAAAAGGAATATTGTGTGCATATTTTTTTAGTTATCTTTTATAAAATCAAAATTCTTTTTATCATATTTCCATGTTTCAACGAAATACGTACCACAATGTAGCCGCTTTCCATTACGATAATGCGATCACTGTCTATGACAGTGTTCAAACGATGCGCTATCGTGATGACAGTGCACTCTTTAAAATTCCTCCTTATGGTGTCTTGAATTAAGGCATCCGTGCTGGAAACGGAAATATAAATTTAGAATAATCACAAATATAGAAAATCGAATTTATAAATTGACCGCACGTCGATCGTGTCTAGATCTTCGCTGAAGATTCGATTCGATACAAAACCTTCTGATATCGTTAAATTTTAGAACGCGAGTTTTATTTGTAACTCGCTAAGAATCATCAAACTCTGTCGAGACTCACTGCGAATCGATGTTGGCCGTGGCCTCGTCAAGGACGAGCAGGCGATTATTTCTCAAGATCGCTCTAGCCAAGCATATGAGCTGTCTTTGACCAACGCTGAAGTTGTGGCCACCGTAGAGAACGTTGTGGTCCAGGGCGACTTCATTTAGCTCGACTAATCGAAGCACCTCCCATAGCTTCACGTCGTCGTACTGATTGAACGGGTCCAGGTTGTAGCGCAGGCTTTCGGAAAAGAGCACCGGCTCCTGTGGTATGATGGAGATCTTTGAGCGCAATTCCCGCAGACCTACCATGCTCGTCACTCGGCCATCAATTATGATCTCGCCCTTTAGACCTTCGTCGAACAGGC